CCCACCCTCCTCTACTCCGGCAGCTTGATCCCTATATCCTCCCCTTCTAATCGTTCCCCAGTGTAGCCCTCCGGTAACCCGAACCAAGGCTGCACCAGTCGTCCTAGCAGTTTACTAATATTGCTTTAAATTCTATACAGGGACAAACTCTTTTGGTTATATATTTTATCTCCCAGTCAGCACCGGGTATTAGGCGCAAATTCCGAAATTTAAAAAAGGGCCACAAACCTCTCAGTTAGAGCTATTGGACATGGCCTCTAAAATCTTTAACAACCAAAAGGAGGAAAGAATACAGGACCACCAACATAAGCAGGAAGCACTTCAGCTTTTATCTACCACTTTAGCAGAAAAAGCCACCACTGATAATCTTCCACCCCAGATGGTCAATAGCAGAAGGGGTACACAGCCCCCTTCCCAGGTTTGTTTCTGATGCCGTCAAAATGGGCATATGGCCAAAGACTGTCAAGCCCTGCCCACCAGCAAAACCCTGTCCCAAATGCAAACAGCATGGACATTGGGCTCATGATTGCCTCGTTCGCCTAGCCGGAGGAGAGTACATGGCCCAGAGGCCTGCTGTAATTAGGGGACATCAGGCATCTTACACGATCTCAAAGGGGGATCTCTTGGGCTTGCTCCAATCAGATTGACTCGCCCCTAACTTGGTAGCCCCAATGTCTTCGGAACAAACTATTAAACCAACCGAGCCTAGGGTGGAAATATCAGTAGCTGGTGGGGTTATATCATGTGTTATTAATACGGGGGCTACATGCTCAGCTCTACTTAAATTTCCTGGTCCACTCCTTCCTTCACCCCTTTTGGTTGTGGGGGTACAGGGCATTATATCCAGGCCCCTCACTATGCCATTACTTCCATGTGTTCTGGGAAATAAAATATTTCACACTCTCTCCTTATTATGGCAACGTGTCCATTATTAAAGGGGACATTATGACAAAAATTAGAACTCGTATTATTCTTTACCCTGAGCCATCACCACTGTGCTTTTTGGGTGCCTTTTGTATAGCTTTAAATTTCCCTAATAGTTTCACGTTGGATCCTATCTAAGCCCTTCCACTATATATAAACTTATTGCTTTGGTTAAAACTCTAAGGTTAGGAAAAATGTAAAGAAAGTTGTTGGTGTAAGGTATGTTTTTAGTAAGAAAGGATAAAGAAAAGATAAATAATTGTATAGGAAGGAATATTGTATGGTACATTTTTGTTCTATAATAGAATGGCTGGTTAAAGAAAGCATAGAACAAAAATAGAAGGTTTAAGCATGTCAAAAAATGGTATGAGCATGTCGAACAATGGTATAAGTATGTCGAACACAGTAGGTGAAAGTTTGTGAAAAGAAGTAAAAGAAATTCTGTAAACACTCGAGGCCACAAAAAAAGTTTAATTAGCCCCCCCCCCCACTGTCTTTGTTACAAAAAAGTGAGGTTTTCTTTTCAAAATCGTTGGACTATCATTTT